GATTCCCGGATTACATCGCAGCCACGACACTACGCTCGGACATGGTGCTGTCATCAACTTCCACCAGGCAGGTTGTGCTGCTCAAACTAACTGTTCCTTGGGAGAACAGAATAGAGGAACCCCAGGAGAGGAAGAGGGCTAAATACCCAGAACTCGTGGCTGAGTGCCGGAGGAATGGCTGGAAGGCCCGCTGCGAGCCTATTGAGGTGGGCTACAGGGGCTTCGCAGGCAGATCTCTACACCGTGTCCTTGGACTCCTAGGGATTTGCGGTCTGCAGAGAAGAGGAGCCACCAAGAACATCTTGGAAGCAGCTGAAAAGGCTTCACTGTGGCTCTGGTTGAGGAGGGGGGAGGCGTGGTGTAGTGCCTACCTGGACACAAGTCGGGGAACTGATCACCCCCGGCTGGGTCGCTCGAGTGAGGGTATATGACTAAGACCAGAAACATCCAGTGATCTTGGGAGAGTCACCAAAGATGTGTCCAGGTTGCACCGCTAGTTGTATCATAATTCTATAGGCTGGGAATGTGGATATAATTACAGAAAAGTAACGCCGTGCATTCCAACCCTAAGCCTAAACCCAACTCAAAATCAACTGCTTTTGGTTTGTTCCGTGGTAAAAAGGAATTTTAATATAACACAATGAAATGTGTTTCACATACAAAATAAACACAAATTTTTATGAAAATTCATTAAACTACAGAGATGTAAAATATTCGCTTGCTCCGGTAACCCTTTTTTAACTGGCCGTTCAGTAGTAGATGCTCAATAAAGAAATTTATCTCAGTTGCTCTGAATTTTCTTTTTTTTAAGTGTGAGTAAAGAAAACGATGAAGATTAAATAGATTGCAAACACACAATAGAAATGCTGTATGAGTAGAAGAAGCAACCATTGCTCACATGAAATAATACTGCCTGTATGCCCACCGTCTTCCCATAGAATTGACTGCTGTGATAGCCTCAAACGCCCCTTTTATGACAGAGGATACAAAAGATGTGTCCTGTTGGAAAATAACGGGATTATAAATCGTCTCATAACTTCATATATTTTAAACATCGGCCCATTTATCTTGTGAACTGGTGTACATCTGATGGTGGGGTAGTCCGTCTATCTCAGGACAAATAAACAGCAACACGCTTACTAAGAGCAGATTAGAGACCAGTTAGCTTAGCATGCAGGTCTCTGTTATCTTTTTGCTGCCAGACAATATCGACTTTTTCTCACAGTTTCCTACAAAAGCCCCAATTTCCCCTGAAAGCTTCAGGGTTTAAAGCATGAGGATCTGCTGTGTCTATAAAACTGTAAAAAGGGATCGTTGGAATGTCTGAGATTCCTGCTTCCTCTGATCTGAAAAACTGCAGACCGTTTACGTAACTCAGCCTAATGACATATGGTGGAGTTATAAAGATAGCTGCCCTACCACCTCAGCCCAGCAGGTGGCGGTAATAAGAAATCCCAATGTTTGTATGTAAGAAAACAAAGGAAAACGGCAGCTGGCTCATCCTTTTACGTCCTTCCAAAGTCTGTTTAAATTTCTGTTAGTTTTTGTCTGAACTGAGCAGACAGAAGATGACACCGTATAAATTATATTTTGGTTTTTGCAGTTACTCATTTCTCACTTTTAGCTGCTGCAAACAGCTAGCAGGTTGTGTTTATGATCGATAGGCTAATGCTACGTTCAGACCGCAAGCAGCAGAGGCAGCTAGTTTACATGCTAAGTCAATGGTTGATGCGCATCAAGG